CTGGCTGAGTTGTTTATACAGTGCTACCAATGTAAGCACATGGTGGCAAGTTCATAAACTTAATTCTCAGATCTCATATGATAACAGCTCTGATGGTCATTCCAGAAAAAGAATTCCAAAATTGCTTTGAAGGGTGGACTGGGTACTGGTGTCTGTGTATTGCTTCCCAAGGGAAGTACTTTGAAGATGACTATAGTGATATTTAGCAATGAGGTATGTAGCACTTTTTCTAGGATGAATTTGCAAACTTAATTGTTAAACCTTCATATGTTCCCTAAATTCCATCCCTAGGCATACACCCAAGAGAGGTAGAAACACATGTCCACACAAAGGCTTGTACATGAATAGTCATAGCAGAATTGTTCATAATCGCCAAGAAGTGGAAACAATTCAAATGTCCATCAATAATGAATAGATAGTTGAACATGGTGGTGCACACCTGTAATCACAGTTACTCTAGAGTAGCAGTTCTCAACCTGTGGGTCACGACCTCTTTGTAACAATGAAAATACATCATGGCATTAGGAAGGTTAAGAATCACTGCTCTAGAGGCTGAGGCAGGAGGATTTCTAGAACGCTTGAGTTTAAGATGAGGTTGGGAAACATATCGAGACTGTCCCCTCAAAAATCCACATTGAATAGATAAACAAAATGGGATATATCCATGGAATAATATTCAGCCATAAGAAAAAAAATGAGGCTGATACATGCTACAAAATGAATGAACCTTGAAAACATTATACTAAGCTAGAGAAGCCTATAGCAGAAAGCCACATATTATATTGTTCTACTTGTATGAAATGTCCATATAGAAAGAAAATAGATTAGTGGTTTCCAGGGGCTGGAGAAAGAAGGAAATTGGGAATGACTGCCAAAGAGCGTGGAATCTGGGGGAGGAGGGTAATGAAACGTTGTGAAATTAGATATCGGTGACTGACACACAACTTATGCTTATAATTAATGCCACTTTTATACTTAAAAAGGTTAAACTTGATGGTGTATGAATTATATCTCAATAATGCTGTCATAAAAATGGGGTAAAATATATCACCCTTCGTAACTTCAGAAACAACATAACCACAATTACAGCAAGGAATAAGCCAAGTTTTAACTTAGCTAATCTTGAACAAGTTACTGATTCCATCTGAGGTTTTTTACCTACCAGATGAGGATAATGACACTACGTACTCCATAAGGTGATTTAATGATTAAATGAGTTAATACATGTCTACTTTCTGGAAGACAGTTTATCATACAGTAAGGGCCCAATGAATGTTAGACCTTATTACAATTATTAACTACCAAATGTAATTTGTATGGCTGAAGAACACCCAGGTATAGTTACTTTCCCTAAATGTCAGTCCAATTAGTCCAGACTCAACTCAGAGAAAAGATGGAAGGCAACTTCCCCCATGGAGAAGTGTCAGGGTGCTGTAAGAATGGCTATACACCAGTAGGAAAGCAAATTTTATGTGTAAGAAGCAGATGATTACTAAATGCTCATCTTTGTAAAAATAGATGAAATTCAATTAACTAAATTGAACTCAATAAAAAATAGGAAAGAAAAACCACTTACATGTGTTGGGAAGATGATATAAATATTTTATTTTATTATGATTTTATAAATCAAGGCAAGCATATACTTTCATGATCAAGGTAAGATTTTATATGAGAAAGGCAATTTAAAAACAACTAAGTAGGAGAGGAATTATTGCTCAGTTGGGATGACTGGAAATCCAACTGCCTACTCAGCTTTTGCTCATCCAGGTTTTTGTTACCCGGGGTCTTTTAGGAGGGAGGTGCCTGCAATGGCGTCTTTGACACAACTGAAGATTTTTTCTTTGAATGACAACGCTAAAGTTTTTCCACAGTCTTCTCCTTCCCATCCAGGGGAATGGTTTCACCTTCCTCTGGTGAATTTACAAGCATTCAGCATCTGTGTGCTTCTATCCTGTGCTCCACAGCCATCTGTAGCATTTCCAGTGAATTTAGTGGTTTACAAAGTTCCAGAGAAGCCAGGCACCAATGATGCACTGAGTGTCCAGTTCATCATTAATTTTAGAGAATTGTGTAAGGCTCCAGATTCTTTATTTACCTCTAAACTGGACAATGAATTTTAAAACTTTTTCTTCTTCTTCATTTTTTTTTTTAATCCCTGATTCAGAGTGCAGGGCCTGGCATACAGTGACCAAGTGAGGAGTGGAGTGAACTAGTGGAAATGTTTGGGGACTGCACCTCTGTGGGTTGGCTTGAAGGCATATAATCCTGCTTTCCATCAGAAAGTGGTTAGGGTGTTAACAAGGTCAAGTTATCAGGAGCCCAGACATCAATTCCTTGTCCTGTCTCCCTCCTCCAAGTTCTTTCCCTTGCCACCCACTATGAGTGAGGCTGCTCCCAAGACGCTTTCCAAGGCACTTCCTACATTGCTGCCCTGTCAGGAAGTGCACCCCAGGATGCCTTTTAGGAGGTACCCACTCCCAGCTGCTGGAAGAGTTTGTCTGAAAGATCCCACCAGTCGGTGTCTGAGTCCCTTGCCAGTATTTGCCTCCACCAAAGGTAGATGCTTCAAAGTTATAGCGCCTCCCCTGGGGTAAATTTGTATCCAGTGACTGTTCAGTGAGGAGGTCCCAGGACCTGAACCCACTTCAGGACAACTCTAAAGAGCTATTTTAGTCCCAGAGCTCTCAGTGGAATTGATTAGACATTTTTTTCCCTGCAATTGCAGCACTACCCTCCTCTACCCACCACACTCGCACTGCCTTCCTCTTCCATTACCCCAAGAACACTCCTCAATAAACTCTCCTGAACACAAGTTTCTGAGCCTGTTTTCCCAAGGATCCAATTTCAGACACTAAGACACCAGCATGGGCCACCTTCAGTGCCCGTCTCAGCACACTCAGTACTCAGTCAACACCAATCCCATGAACAGACTTCTCTCACATCCACATTTCTTCCAAGGATGAGGACAGGTGAGTAAGTCCTCTAGGCAGAGTTAGCCGGAAGTCGTGAGTTGCTGCAGAAATGGGTATTAAATCATCCTCAGACTTAATCAGAAAGACTCCCCAAAGCTTTTGGGGCCATGGAATATTTGTGTGGGCAACCAGAGTGAACCCCTGTGGCTAGCAGGAATGACCACAAATTTCTTGACAGTCCCCATCAGAATGAGGGGGCCTATCTTCTCTCCCCTTGAGCCTGGGAGGAGGGGCCTTGAACGCTTTGAGCAATAGAAGATAACAGAAGTGATCCCGTGCCACTTTTCAGATTCTGTCTTTTTGGAGATCTCTCTTTGGGATTCCTGAGCTGACATGTAAGACGGTCCATTTCCCTGAAACTGCCACATGTAGGCACTCTGAATCAAGCTCCCAGCTGTTCTCCACCCCCCAGTGCCAAACATGTGAGTGCAGCCACCTTGATGGTCTCTGACCCATCAATCTACCATCAGAATACCACCTAGTAACCACTCCTATGTGAAGCAGAAGAATCACTGGATGGGGTCCGAACAAATTACTGACCTACAAAAAATCATGATATTTAATTGAACAGAATGGTTATTCTTTTAATTTTCTATGTAATAATAGATAACCAGATAACCCCATCCTGGAATTCCCTCAACAACTCCTTCTGCTTCTCTATGCCCTCACTGGGAATGGGGCAGGGAAGGGAATGAGTATCCGCTATCCATTGTACTGAAGTTCAGGCCCAAGGATCTCAAGTTACACTTCCGAAATTCACACTTTTAATCGTAAAGCAGCCTAGAGGTAGAACTGATTTCACTTGAGCCTTTCTCAAGCGTATTTGCATTTGACAGGCTTCAGGGTTTTGCTTTGAGAAAATGAAATGGTGACAAATAATTAAGAAAACCAAATCCTGGGTAAGGACATGCTGCCAGGCGTGTTCTAAGGGACCACAGACCTGGAGAAAATAGATTGCCCAGGGAATCTGGGCCTTAAGGTTTTAATTTAAAAGGAAACTTTGAAACTAGTGATGTATCTCCTAAAATGTATAATGACCTTGGGTCAGGGTTTTGTGGGAGTAGGACTAATTCAGCTGTTTTTCCATACTGTCTCCAGAAATAATTCATGAGTGTCAGACTCTGTGTCCATATTTTCCATTTGTAACATGTGGCCACCATACTTGCCCTAGGGCTTTTTTTTTGGCTTTCCAAAAGTGGCTCTATTTTGAGGTCTGCTCTATTTTGGCATATAATCCTGGCTCTATTTTGAGGTCTGCTCTATTTTGAGGTCTGCTCACTGAACAGTTGCTACTCAGAGTTCTGAGTCCACGTGGCTCCGTGGACTGTCCCTTCTAACTGCCCATCACTGTTACAGACCCTCCAGCTACAATGTGAATATCAAAGATCTTGCCCCACTCCCTACTCTCCTAAAACAAACAAACAAACTCAGAAACAAAACACTTCAATAAAAGATAAGTCAAGGAGCCATAACTTAGTGCTCAAAGTTTCCAGGTGATCTAGTCTGGACTCCTTGAGAAGGAAGCTGAGATGATTGAGTCCTTACTGTGTACAAATGCCACAGATTTACAGGCATGATTACAATTCTCAGAGTACCCTGGGAAATGCTTGTCACCATTAAGGACTCGGATGCACAGAGAAGGTTCAGTAAGGTGCTCAAGGTTTCACAGCTGGTAACGGATGGTAGAGAAAGGGAGAAGGAGGGCAGCTATTCAGATTCTGATGTGCATGTCTGAGGTTGAAGCCTGTGAAAAGGAGTAAGAATTCCAGACTGTTACAACTAGGTAAAACGTTCCAGTCACCCATGAGGTAGAAAGACTTCTATGACTAATTCAAACTAACAACTGTATGTAGTGTGAATGCTTACTCTTAGACTGAATATTTTTTTAGGTCAGAGAGTTTATCAGTGTCTTACTTGGAATCTTACAAGTGTGGGTGTCATTCAGTAGGTGGTTTATTATGCAAGCAAAATATTGGACCCCGTTGTCACACATGTATCCATGTAAAATATGCAAAAATATTTACATACCTACACAGGTGTGGCTTTTGAAGTGGGTGGTGTCCAGCTGGTTGTGGTAGGCTGGAGAGGCCGAGGAGTGAAGGGGCAGGAGGAAGAATAAAGGAGTCACCATAAGGATTTTCCAGGAGAGTGTCATCTCTGAGCTGTGTACCATATGAGACCGCCGGCTCCAGAAGCTGCTGACTACGGAGTGCGCAAATGGTCACAGAAGGAGTGGGTTTCTCTGTCCTTCTCTTCCTCTCTCTCTTTGACGCCCCTCCCCCAACACACATACACACTTTTCAATAAGTGTGCAATAAATAGAAACACACCCAAGCACTCACAGCTTGCGATTGTGGGACCCCTGAGAGAGCCCACATCTGGGAAGAAGTGGAGGGATTCCCTGGTGGGCAATTCTTCTGAGCTAAAAACTGCAGGAAAAAGAAAAACCTAAGCTGCACAGGGCCAGCATCAGGCACTTCCTTCCCTGCTCCCCTGCTGAAGGCAGCGCCCACAAACCTCCAGGCTTGCAGAAACTATTCTGTTGGGTTGATTAGGAGGCCCTTCCGCTTTCTCATTCTTGCAAAACAAAACGAAACTAAAGCTAGACCTGAATAAGAAAAAATAACTCTCCGAACTGTATACACACAACCCTTTCATAATTGGGTCCGCAGCACCCACACTTGTAGAAATAATAACATGTTAGATTCCAAAGTTATTTAGTTTTATTTCAAACAGCTTTATATGACAAAGTTAGGCTTCTTAATTTGTGTTAAAGAATTTTCTAGTCAATAAGTATAAAGCTTTTGTGTGTAGGCAATGAGCCATGAAGAAAATAATGGGCATTTGGCATGGCTGGACTTTAGATATAATGAGAAAAAAGATGAGTTAGAATTAACTGTTTCTTACTGGGCTGTGTGTGATGCACCTTTTTTCTCCAGAATTTTGAAGCTTGTTTACATTTCCTGCTGGTGGATAACTTGTTCACTGTTAAGAGACTGATTTTCTACTTTGAAGATGAGAACTGAATACTGTTTTTCTTGGGGAAAACATGCAAACTGGGTGGTAGACAAAGAAAGACATAGAATGCTTTTTTTTAAAGTAGGATACGACAAAGTCAGACGTCATCACAGACAAGGTAAGGAGATGGGGCCGAAGAATTATAGACGAGATAAATGTGAGAACTCATGTGATCCTCTTTCTCTCTGCTTAGGCTCTGAGGAAAGCTAATTACAAACTGAAATATTATGGAGACTAACTAAATTGGTAGCAGATGTTTTTTAAAAAATAGCATTTTAAGTAGCAGGTAGAGCTTGAGAATTGTGTCCATTGGAAATACCAATTTTTATGGTTTGAAGATTTCTTTTGTAGGCACCCATCTTACGAATGTCAATAGGGCTGAAATTCCCAGATCTACTGTACAGATGGCACAAACCGGAGTATTTCCCTAATTATGTACTTAGCAGAGGTTGGGCCATGAATGCTGTGGATATCTTTGGGTATCCTTGGTTACCCTTGGTCCTGTGACTTCCTCTGAGGCTGAGTACTGCTGCTATAGGTCATCTCTCACCCTGTAATCAAGGAAAGCTTTAGGGATCACTGGGCCCACCATAGAGGTACAGCCTGGAGAACTTCTAGAGACCCCCCAGGAGGCAGAATAATGGACTGATTAAAGACATAGATTGTGAGGACAGAAATGCCCACATTCAAATTTCCTATCTATTGTTTATTTCTGAGTAATATGTTAAGCTGGTGATATAACCTTTCAGTTTCTTCATTTATATTGGGATAATGGTGATATCTCCTTCAAAGAGCTTCTGGTGGGACTCACATAAATGAGGTATCCAAACTACAAGAGGCACTTATAAGTACTAAATACTTATATTTATTAATTCAAAGTTTGGTGAGATTGTGATGAAACACGACTCCAGGCCAGCTTTGAGAGAACTCTAAGACACCCATGGTAGTTACAGGCCAAGATGTAATACATAGGAAAATGGTGTGGACGGGAAGAGGCAGCATGTGTCAAATATCTTCCAGGTGCCATGCAGCATTCCAGGAGTGTATGGTCTAGTTTGTCTAATCCATGATGGGGGAGGGATCTTCTGAGGGCTTCTGGAAGAGCATTTGGCACAGGTGCTGGGCCTCTTGAGACTCCCCTAGTCTCCTAGTCTAGATATTACCTGTGAACAGGTTAGGAAGCTGGTAGGATGACAGGAACTTCTTGGTGTAAGACTGTATGCAAGTTGTATACTCTTCATCATGTGTGTGTGAGCCAGGGCCAAGGCAGTTCCATCCACAGCCACACTAAGGATGGTGAGCCCTGAAATCATCTGGTGCTCTCAGGTGTCAGTGCTGGCCACAGTGTCACTAACTTAGCTGTGTAGCATTGAGCAAGTCCCTTACTAGTTCCATAGGTGAGATTTCTTAGCTGGGAAAGGGACATGGTAATAACTGACACATAGCAGGTTTTTAATAAATGGAAGCAATTTTCATGCTTGGAAGGTGAGTTCTTACTGATCAAGGTCAAAAGAAGAACATAGAAACCAGAAATTGATTTTTGCCAACTGATGCTAAAACAAAGTACATGTGCACTTATGCCACAAATCAAAACTGTCCTCCCTGTCACCACAGCAGAGGACTCTCCCTTTGCATAGTCATCCCTCAGACTAGCTAGTGTCCTTGCATCTGACAGGGCTGCCTTTGTTCATTGAATACTGAGTGCAAATGACTTAAGATCTCTAACAACTTGCCAAAAGGGTCTGAACCCATCTGTGTTTACAACCTTTGCCATGGTCTAGTCAGGTCCCATTCAATGTCCCTACAGGCCTATGCTGTTAAGTGCTATAATTTTAATGATCTCATAATCTACTCCTGAGGGTGAGATGTCTTCCTTGAAGCATTTTGTTACCTACTTCACTCAGAAAGTTCGGATTCAAACCACAGCCTTCCCCTCTGCCATAGGAGGCTGAGGGTTTAGCATGATCCCCAACTATTATGCTTGTGGTTCTGACTTGTTTGGTATGAATATGCTTCCTGAATATTTTTTGATCTGCATTGACCTCGACCATTTTATGTGCAGAAAGATCCTTAATTAGAAGAAATAAAAATAAAGACCAGGGTGGTGGGAAATCTTGTGAAAGCTGGCACTATCACCAAGCGGCCTCTTGTCTTTGGCCGCTCCTCTTTCTGACGTCCATGATGGTGCTGCCCTCTTCTTGCCGCCCAGGGCTCTCTATAGCGGTTTTCAGTTCCCAGAAAATCACTGGGTGGTTTCCTACCCATTCCATTCTGTCTCTGCTCTCTGCTAAGGAAATAGTAGAATAATCCACATGGAAGATGCTTGAGGACTAATTAAGAGAGCTCTGGGCTCAGGATGGAGTAATCTACATCATGGCTTCCCCTCTAAGTGGCTGGCTGCCCTGTGGTAAGCTGCTCCATCTTTCTGAATACTGCTTCATTTAACTATAAAATGGGATATACAATGTCAGTATCAAAAGAAATCGTGAGGATTAAAGACACAACATTAGTGAAAAAACCTAGCAATATCTATTAGACAAATTAAAGCTTAACATTATCCTTATCAAGTAATGTTGGAATATTTTTTGGAATGTCTTTAAATAGAGATTTTTAAAATTGATACATAATAATTGTACACATTTATGGGGTACATGTGATATTTTGATATACATTTGTAATATGTCATAAACAAATCAGGGTAATTGGGAAATCCATCACCTCAAACATTTATCATTTCTCTGTGTTGGGAACATTCCAGATCTTCTCTACTAGCTGTTTTGAAATATATAATAAGTTATTTTTAGCTCTAGTCACCCTACTGTGCTATTGAACACTAGGGTGTATTCCTTTTACCTACTCATATTTCTGTACCAATTAATCGACTTCTTCATCCCCTGCTTTCCCTTCCCAGCCTCTGGTAACTATGGTTCTACTGGCTGTCTCCCTGAGATCAACTTCTCATAGCACCCTCACGTGAGTGAGTATGTGAAATTTGTCTTTCTAGGCTGGCTTACTTCACTTAATAACCTCCAGTTCCATTTATATTATTGCAAATAACAGGATTTCATTCGTTTTATGGCCAAATAGTATTCCATTATGTGTCTATACCACATTTTCTTCATTCATTCATTCATTCATTCATTCATTGATGAACACAGGCTGAGTTCATATATTGGCAGTTGTGAATAGTGCTTCAATAAATATGGGACATATCTTGAATATACTGAAATCCTTTCTTTTGGATATATGAGGGCTGTTGAGAAAATATCCAGTTGCTTTTTTTTTTTTTTTTGCAGTTTTTGGCCGGAGCCAGGTTTGAACCCACCACCTCAGGTATATGGGGCTGGTGCCCTACTCCTTTGAGCCACAGGTACCGCCCCCAGTTGCTTTTTTTATGCTTTTCAAACTACATGGATACTTTTCAGACAGCCCTTGTATACCCAGCAGTGGTATTGCTAGATTGTATGGTAGATCTATTTTTAGTTTTTCTGAGAAAACTCCATACTGTTTCCTATAGTGGCTGTACTAATTTATATTCCCACTAAAAGCATACTAGTATCTCCCCTCTCTGCATCCTTGCCAGCATCTGTTATTTGTGTTTATGATAACAATTTTAATTGGATGATATTATATCTCATTGTCATTTTAATTTACATTTCCCTTATTATCAGTGATGGTGAGCATTTTTCATATACGTTTTTGCCATTTATATGACTTTTTGTAAAATATTTATTCAGATCATTTGCCCATATTTAAACTGAATTATTTGTTTCTTACTATTGAGTTATTTGAGTTCCTTGCATATTTTGGTTATTAATCTCTTTTTGGATGGGTAATTTGAAAATATTTTCTCCCATTCTGTAGGATATCTTCTTCACTGTGTTATTTCCTTTGCTGTGTAGAAAGTTTTTAGTTAATGAAACCCCAGTTGTCTATGTTTGCTTTTATTGTTTATGCTTTTTAGGTCTTATCAGTTTTTTTTCCCCAAACCAATGTCCTGAAGCATTTCCATAATGTCTTCTTCTACTACTTTCTTAATATTAAGTCTTTAATCCATTTTGAATTGATTTTTGTATATGGGGAGCACAGGGATCTAGTTTTATTCTCTACACATGGACTATGCATCCAGTTTTCCCAGCACCACTTGCTGAAGAGACCACCCTTTTCCAATGGCTCCTTTGTGAAAGGTAAGTTCAGGATAGATGTGTGATATATTTCTGGGTTCTCTATTCTGTCCCATTGGTCTATATGTGTGTTTTTATGCCAGTGCCATGCTATTTTGATTACTGCTTTTGCTGTTTAGCTCTGTAGTATAATTTGAAGCCAGATAATGTGATTCCTTTGGTTTTGTTCTTTTTTGCTCAGGATAGCTTTGGCTATCTGGGTTTTTGTTGTTGGTGGTGGTGGTTTTGGAGT